AGTATAAACTTAATGGGGCTGAGTGGCTCCAGGGCCCCCCACAAACCTAACATGGGAGCTGGGAAAAGCAGCAGCACAGGGACTGAGAGTTATTTTGCATATCAAAAACAGCAGGCTAGGTTCATAGCCTGCCCAGATCCAGGGAGAGGGGCATGACTTTGATCCCTGATGTAGCTGGAAGGCAACTCCCCGGTTACAAGGCCCGAGCAAGGGCTTGGAGATAGTTCACTTCATGCCAAGGAACCATGCCTCCCCAGAGTAACAATGGCAGCCAAAAAAAGCAGAAGAAACCAAACTACTGGCAGGTGTACCCAGTTGTGGGAGGATTCAGAAACGTTGTTACAGGGGAAGATCGCGCCAGGATTTAAACCCAGGCGTGGCAACCCTGCAGGGGCTGAATCACGCAGTTTGGGGAAGTGGAAAGGGCCCTCTCTTGACCATGCAGCATAGGAAGCAGGAAAGCAAGATGTAGCAGCCATGAGGAGCTCTCCCTTAGTGGTTTGAAAGAAAGCAGGACTCCCACTAGCCCACCATGAGGATGAGGTTCTGGATTAAGAATGGGACTCGAGCCTTCTATTTCTTTCTTTCTTTTTTAAAAACATCATTGTGTAGTTGCCTCTCACACGATCCCTACTGGGGACCAGGCCTGCAACCCAGACATGTGCCCTGACTGGGAATTGAACTGGCGACCCTTTGTTTCACAAGCTGGTGCTCAATCCACTGAGCCACACCAGCCAGGGTCCAACTTCTATTTCTTTTCCTGAGATGCTGTACCACTGACTGACCTGGTTTGGCAAGGAGAGGCAGGACTGTGTGTGTGTTTGTGGGTGTTTTAAAGGGACTTTGGGATTTAACAGTGACATTCTGCCATTACTCTAAACCTGTGTAACTTTTGAATAAATAGTTCCTTTCCTTTTTACCACACCCTGGCATTGAGAGCCATAGTTCCTAATACAGTGGTGGGCAAAGAAGAACCATAGTGAAAAAAGACCCTGGGGGAGGGGCCTTGTTTCTGTAACTGGAGGGGAGGGGGGAAAAGAGGAGGGAAAGGGACAGGGAGAATGAGAAGGAAAAGAAACTGTCCAAACTAGTCAGTTTTTCCAGTTCCTGGGTTCAGCTCCTGAAACTGCTGTCTTTGTTCAGCACTTCCGCCAAATATGTAGCATTTATCGCTCTACTTGTACTTCCCAAAACTACAACAAATACAAGGCTAGAGTGTGGTAAGTAACTTCCACTAAATTACTGGGGGGGACCTAGGCATACATCCACACAGCATCAAATAGGAAACAATTTAAAACCGAATACTGACATCTTAAAGGGAACAGTTACTGCTGTAAGTTTCAGTCTACCACCATTTTGACAAGTTTTGCTCCTCAAGCCAAGACATCTGCTTTTCCATTTAACCACTCTTTTCTTAGTTCCAAGAACAGTCAGCCTCTTTCTCTATTCAGCTCCCTGAAAATAATCCAAGTTTTTTATATATATATATACAAAGCAATTTAATTCTCAGTCCACATCCAAGACTAAGCTCTGGACCTAGCTTGCTTTTCATACAAGGTTACTGTTGGGAAATTTTTATTAAACAAAAAGCCATATAGCTCCGATCTGCATTCTCAGCTAAGCAAAGAAACAGAATAAGCAAAGGGAGTATTTTCCCTTAATTAGAAATGTGTGATACTATCTGGAAAGAAATAAAATTCAAATTAATGAGTGTGCTCATTTCCAATCAGGGCAAACTCCATAAGTTATTTTGTCTGTCTATTACAGATATTTTTAAACATTTTACAATGGGCATGAATTCCTTAATAAAATAAAATCCATCAAATCTTACAAAATATTATGTGCTGCTAACTGATGAATTCTTCCAAAGTACTTAAAATTTTTTTAAGAAAATACCCCATATGTTAGCTCTATTCCAGTCTGGTCCTTTGTCTTTTTTTTTTTTTTTTAAGATTTTATGAATTTATTTTTATAGAAAGGGAAAGGGAAGGAGAATCTCTTTTAAGATTTTATGAATTTATTTTTATAGAGAGGGAGAGAAACATCAATGTGTGGTTGCCTCTCATGTGCCCCCTACTGGGGACTTGGCCCACAACCCAGGCATGTGCTCTGACTGGGAATCGAACCAGTGACCTTTTGGTTCGTAGGCCGGCGCTCAAATCACTGAGCCACACCAGCCAGGGCTGGCTTCTTGTCTTAAGACCTCCCCCAATCTCCTGTCTTTCTCTTCTTTTGTTTTGTTTGCATTTTACAGGGCTAAAAAAAAGGCTATGAACTTAAAAGGGACAGGAAAAATATATTGGCTCTGAGGTGTAAGGAGATTCCAACACATTTAAACTCTGCTTGCTATAGATCAAAATTATACAAATAACCTTTTATGATTGTGACTACTTAGATGAAACCAGTGTGGAGTCGGACTTCAGAACACTCAAGTTTCCTCAGCATCTTCAGAAAAGGGGATCTATAATCATTAGAGTTCAAATGCATAAACATTCATATTTTCAGATCTACATAGGTGGCTTTATGTATTATATCAGGTTTGAAACATTTTGGTAGAGCTGACAACGCATGCACTTTTTGAACTGTTAGAATTTGGCAGTTCTTGGTTTACAAAAGTCACTACCTAGACTAGGTCTGTATTTAGATAGCATGTTAAGACTAAAATAATATTTTTAGAAAATTTCTGATAGTGTCTGGAAATTATGAAAACTTCAAATTCAAAGAACAGGTACAATTTTATTAAATATGAAAAAGCTGACAGTATTTATCATTTAGATTTTTGTTTTTAAACTGGATAACACTGCCACCTTCTGGCAAGGACTGATTTTAAAGCTTTCTCTTAAATATTAAAATACAAACAAATAAACAAGCAAAACCACTATTTTTTTTCCTGATGAGACATGCTGCATTAATAAGTAACTGTGAACAGGAATGTGCATTTTGGGGACATTCCCTTAAAATCACAATGTGTAATGTTGTAACCCAACATTCTTTAAAAAGAAAAGAAACTAACACCTCAATGGCCTTCAAGTCATATAAAGGGTCATGAGCCAAAATATGAAAGAAACTCATCAATAGTTCTAGATCATCAAAACTGTAATTTATATTTTTAGCCCTTTAAGTCATCCATTGGAAACCTAACACATGCCTCCTCTAAAAAAGCATAAGGGAAAAAAAACAAAAACAAACCATGTCACCCATCCTCACAAAAATTATGCAAATGGTTTGATTTAGCAAGCAAACAGCAAAAGGCCTTCATCCTGCTCCTGGAATTTCAGAAAAAAACAAAATGATGACTGAGTTATCCTTACCTGATATGGACTTTTAGTTCTGTGAGCTTTGTTACCTAATGTCTCTCAATCTCAGTTTCTTCACCTGAGAACAGGCATAAGAACATCACCTACCTAATTGGATTGTTGTGAAGAGTAAATGAATTGATACAGTAAAGTGGTCCTTAGAACCATGCCTGACACCACAGGAAGCATTCATAAAACTTCAGCTGTCATTATCATTACAAGTGGCTCGAGGTCAGAAATGTACATCCATCTCCTATGTGCCAGGTTTGGCATGATTCTGTGACAGGACTTGATTTGCCTGGTGTGCCAGGAGGGTGGGCTGTGTAAGGTCCATTCATAGCCTGCATAGGATATGTGGTAAGTGTGCTCTGTCATTCTATTGGAACCCTTCTGTTTATGGGATGCCCTTAGAGTGTGTTCCCCTTCTGGCGCTGATTACCCTTGGGAAAATTAATCTTTCTAAGTTCAGCTTCTTTTTGATAAAATGGGGAACAACCGTGCGTATTTCATAAGGCCGCTCTGATGATTAAATCAAGTAATGCACATAGAAATCCCTTTGCACACTTTGTCTTCGAACAGCCTCAACCAAGGTTATCCAGTATATTTACAAAATAACATACACTCCATTGACAACAACATTAGCACCAGTTACATAATACACATTATTGAGGAAATGAGGCCACAGATAAAATGAGATAATTCTGAGAGGGGTGATGGGGTGAAAGAACAATATACCTGCTAGCATAGATATGGCCATAGATAATAAGTATAGTGTAAGAGGCAGGATGATGTGATGATAACACTCTTGGAAATAAAATTGGATAGACCTGGGTATGAATTCTGGTCCTTTGCCATCTGGTGAGGCCTTGATTGATTCACCAAATCTTTTGAACAGGTTTCCTCAGAGTTGGGGATAGTAGGATTACTTGAGGGATTGAATGAGAAAATGTTAAGTGCTTCCCAGTGAGCCTAGGATATAAAAGAACTAAATCCATAGTAATCACAGTTATTCTGAATTATTTGTAAAGGAATATTTTCTGCTTTAAGGACTTGAGTAGCACACAAGCGCAACCCTTCTAAGCATTCCAATTTCTATGTGAAAGAGGTGGTAAAGTAGAAATTGGGACAGACATTGGAAGTGAATTATTTCAGGACTGGGGCATGGAAAACCAGGAAGGGTTAGCGCAAGTATCTTTGAATTGGTTGCTTAAAACAACAGGCACTCGGGGCGACTGCCACGCATAAGCTCTGTGACGCTTTCCAACCTCTTGCTTCACCCTCTAAGCTCTTGGAGAGGGAGAAATTAAGTGGTGGTTCAAACGGGCCCTGCCTCGCCCCGGTCTCACCACAAGGGGGAGCACTTGGGCCCTTGGATACCAGAATGCTGACGTCACAATAGCTGAGGCGGGGCCTTGCGACGAGGTGAGGCCGAGATACTGCCCCAGGGTCATTTTCTTCCTCCTCTCTCTTCAGGCCTGTCGGCGGGGAAAGGTCAGATGACAACCTAAAACTCGGCCAGCCAAGCCCACAGCTGTGATCGCTGGTGAGGTCAACTGCAGCAAGCTGGAGGCATTCATAACCTTCTTTAGGTAGCCCTCATTTGTTTTCCTCATTCTCATCTCGATAGAGGGGTATGTCCAGTGACGGGTCAAGCTGAGAACAACCAGAAACATCCTACGGCCTCCCACCACAGCACTATAGTTAATGGTGCCGATTCCATCCAAACACTTAGTCATCAGCCAACCAGTTGGCTGCCAGCTCATCATCCATCAACCAGTCCTCAGCCAGCCAGGCACGAATCAACAGACTATGAACCAATCAAGCACCAGGAAGTTAGACACTAGTATGAACCCGCTGGACATATACCAACCAGGCACAAGCCTACCTGGCATGAACCCACTAGGCATGAAACAACCGGTCGTCAGTCAACCACGCACAGGCCAACCAGGAATTACTGAAACGGAAATGAGCCAACCAGGCTCCATCCAGCCTAGTGTGAGGCAGCTATTCATAAGCAAACTATACAAAGGCCAATACAGCACAAGTGACCTAGACATGAAACAACCAGACCTGAGCGATTTCAGCATGAACCCACTGCACCTAGGCCAAAGCCAACCCATCGTGATTGAACCAGGTACGAAGCAAGCGGACCTGAGTGAATTTGGCATGAGTCAGCTGCACCTAGGCCAGAGCCAGTCCATCATGATTGAACCAGGTATGAAGCAACAAGACCTGACTGAGTCCGCCATGGGTCAACTGCAGCTACGTGGGAGACAATCCATCCGTAGTAAGCCAGGTATGAAGCAACCACAGGTAGGCCAGAGCCAATCCACCCACAATGAATCAGGTATGAAGCAAGCTGGCCCCAGCCAATCAGGTATGCGTGAACCACGCATGAAGCCACCAAACCCAACAAGCCCCAGCCCAACATGCAGGAACCAACCATGCACGAACTTTTTCCAAATAAGATCTGCAGAGGCTCGAGACTGCATCAAAATTCTGCAGCTAATTCAGGTAAGTTTTTTCTCCCTTGTTCCCTGGAGCTCTGTGGTGTTAGTTTAGGGCTTAAAGAGCAGATAGGATAGGTTCAAATCCCAGTTCTGCTCATTATGGCCTGTGTACACAACCTTTTGGAAGTTACTTTCACCTCTCTAAGCTTCATTTTCCACATTGAAAATCAATAGCATAGTACTATCTATATCAAGAGATTGTTGTAATGATTCAGTAACATAAAATGATTACACATGAATCACCTGACTTATAATAGGAGGCTCAAAAAGCCAGGCAGCCTGGCTGGTGTAGCTCAGTGGATTGAGCACAGGCCTGCAAACCAAGGCATCAAGGTTGGATTCCCAATCAGGGCACATGCCTGGATTATGGCCAGGTCCCCAGTAGGGGGCGTGTGAGAGGCAACCACACATTGATGTTTTCTCTCCCTCTTTCTCCCTCCCTCCCCTCTCTCTGAAAATAAATAAAATCTTTATAGAATCCTTTAAAAAAAAGTCAAGCAGGAACCAATTCATGTAAATTTTAGGGACCTAATATATTGTCCCTCCTGGGGAAGTTTTAACTTTAAAAAAAGGATATTAGGGAAAACGAGTGCTTAACTCAAACAAATGACGTGTTAGTAACAGAATTCAGGTATTGATGTCTAAGATTTTAGGGTAGAGAGTCTTGTTGCTTTTAAGGCCACGCCTACTTGTACAAGCTAATATTTGTCCAGAAAACAATATTCATCCCCAACAAATTTTCCATACAATTTCAGACAGTTCTTTGACTCCTGAAGTCCATGCATTGATAGTCTCAAGTGTCCAAGGAGCTAGGTTAAAATTTCCTAATTTAAAAGTTCAGCCCTGGCTTGCGTGGCTCAGTGGATTGAGCACCAGCCTGTGAACCAGAGGGTCGCTGGTTCAATTCCCGATCAGGGCACATGCCTGGGTTGCAAGCCAGGTCTCCAGTAGGGGGTGTGTGAGAGGCAACCACACATTGACGTTTCTTCTCTCCCTCTCTTTCTCCCTCCCTTCCCCTCTGTCTAAAAATAAATAAATAAAATCTTAAAAAAATAACAGTTCATTATAATGGTTTTCCTGAAAATCATTCTAGTGGGGACAGTAATGGGGACAAACTAAAAGCCACAGTCACTGTGCTGAAGTTCTGTAGCACTCAAGGCAATCCTTTATGTGATGCACAATCTACAGTATTCCATATAAAAACAGTGGCCTCGATTTTTAATACGCTAAATATGTGGCTGGAAAAATGTTTCCAGCTACTAATTTATATACTTTAAATCAGACCAAGTTTCTATTTCCATAGACAATGTGTTCTAATGGACAAAACAAACTACCGGAGGTTTCCTGGTGAAATCCATTTGTTGAAATGATGCTAGGCGCCTCCACAGATCTATCAATAATGAGTTATTTAGCGTTCTTTGCTTTCCATTCTTTTCTATCCCCACAAATTCTTACATCATTTGTCTAAGTGGTACTAATCTGCATGATTAGATCATCCATCAAAATGCTATGCCCAACAGGTTAATTATTCCAGAAGAACACTTTTTCCAGGTACAATATAATTTTAAGCCATTTTTGCTCCTTAGTATGTGACATGTGGTTGGCAACTAATAAATTTACTGTTGAATGACAGTGAATCTCTACACCTGGAAAATTCACCTTCCTGAGCTTCCCAAACAGTGCCCGTTGCTATGACCAGGAGAAAAATACGTTATTAGACCCTCTCACTTTAATGAACCTTTATCTATAATTTCCCTTTGAATTTGCCTCGAGGTCTTGAATATACATTTTGCTTTTCTTGGTAATATCTTTAATGAGTATTCACTGTAGAAAGATACTATTTTAGAAAAGATAATTACTCTGCATCATAGGCATGAATGTAATGATTAATTAGCTTTGGGCTTTATGTACCTTTCCAATACATAGATGTCCATTTACCATAAGTCCTGTATATAAGTCAAGTTTGCAAAACGTTACCTCTTTGCAAGGGAATTTACGAGAGTTTACCACCTTACTAATTCATTCCTTAGCTGAGTATTTTGCAGGTTTTATTTAATGTCCCGTCACTAAAATTCTTCCAAGTATCCTCTGTATGCACCCGTTTTATCCTATTCTTCATCTCCAACACACAGCATGACTGAGGGGTCTAGTCATTTCATGGCTCAACAGCCAGAACTTCTTGCTTTCCATTTATGTGTATGCCATTTATTTCCATAATGTACTGTATGGTGACTATACTTAAGAATACTGTATTGCATTTGTAAAAGTTGCTAAGAGACCTTAAAAGTTCTTGTGACAAGAAAAAAAATGTAACTATATGTGATGATTAATGTTAACTAAACATTTTTTAACATTTTTTATTGTTGTTCAAGTACAGTTTTCCACCTTTACCCCTCACCCCTCCTCACCTCTCCTCGCCCCTCCCCACCACCACAGCCCTCCCCACGTTTTAAAAAAGATTTTGTTTATTTATTTTTAGAGAGAGGGAGGGGAAGGGAGGCGGAAAGAGAGGGAGAGGAACATCAATGTGTGGTTGCCTCGTACACGCCCGCAACTGGGGGCCCAACCTGGCCCGCAACCCAGGCATGTGCCCTGACTGGGAATCAATTCAGCGACCCTTTGCTTCACAGGCCGGCACTCAATCCACTGAGCAACACCATCCTGTGCTGTGTTAACTAAACTTATTGTGGTAATCATTTCTTAATATATACATATATCAAATTATTATTTTGTATACCTTGGACTAACAGTGTTATATGTCAGTTATATCTCAATAAAACTGGAAAAATAAAATTTAAAAAAATTAAGACAGCAAGAGTAATTATTTCTATAATCTCAAAGTGGGGATGCCTTTCCAAGGATGAAATCCAAACCATAGATAATTAATTTGATTGTGTAAAAATGCCATTGTAAAAAGCCAGATAAACAAAGTATACAGTTAAATGGAGAAAAACACCTTTCAGGCAACGGGACAGACTTGTCTGTCAAGTGGATGAGCTTTATAATACATCGACTCTGTGATAGCCACCTTGAATGCTCAGGAAACTTTTGGGCTCCACTTCCTCATTTCTGGTTGCATTTAAGGCTAGTTACCTGGACAACTGACTTTCATACGAGTGAAGTATCAACATAGTTCATCTTCTTTCTGTATATATTCCCTTGTTGTATGTGCCATTGTAGATTTTGACTTAATAAAAGACTGGGGTTAAGCGTTACTTTTCATATACTACCCAGAACATCATATGTTAATAAACACTGGATAAAAACTTCATGATTATGATCTTAAGAATTCATTATTAAACCATCAACTAAAAGTTTTCTCTACTCTGACAGGAATCGGCTGCTTCTGAGAACATGCCGCATGTGGTCAAGCTAACAGCAGCGGGTAAGATGTTCTATGGCATTTTCAGCACTAGACTAAGAAACAAGCCATACGCGTGCACACAGTTCTACTTCCACTTATATTTACTTACATTCCATAAATTGCATGTTGTTTCATTTTCAATCATCTCGAAATGCTTTCTAATTTCCCTTGTGATTTCCTCTTTGCGCCATTGGTTAGGTGTGCACTATATGTGTGAATTTCCCAGTTTCCATCTTGTGTTTCTAGTTTCATCCCATTGACTGGAAAAGATAGTTTGTATGATTTCAGTCTTAAAACTTCCTAAGACCTGGCTGGCGTAGCTCAGTGGATTGAGCGCGGGCTGCGAACCACAGTGTCGCAGGTTTGATTCCCAGTCAGGGTACATGCCTGGGTTGCAGGCCATGACCCCCAGCAACCGCACATTGATGTTTCTCTCTCTCTCTCTCTCTTTCTCCCTCCCTTCCCTCTGTAAAAATAAAAAATAAATAAAATCTATATAAAAAAACTTACTAAGACTTGTTTTGTGGCCTAACATATGGTCTATGGTAGATAAACTTCCCTGTGCACCATTCTGTTTTGGGGAAGAATGTAATGTATATTTCTGGTATGTCCAACTGATCTATAATGTCGTTAGATAATCTATTGATTTATTTTTCTTCTGTCCAATTCCATATTGCAATTGAGGTATTGAAGTTTCCTTTTACCATTATATAATATCCTACTATTATTGTAGAGCTGCCCTTGTCCTCAATTTTGTCAATACTTGGTTCATACATTTTGGAGCAACAATGATCCTTAGTGTATAAATGTTTATAAATGTTACATCTTTTTAATTTATTTGTTATTGTTTTTCAAGTACAGTTGTCTCCATTTTCCCTCTTCCACTCACTGCTCCCCACTCATCCGCACCTCCCACCCTCGGTCCTATCTCCTTTGGCTTTGTCCATGTGTCCTTCATATGTGTTCCTTGATGGCCCTTCCCTATTATCCCTCTTACCCCCTCCCCCAGTTACTATCAGTTTGTGCTTCCAGCACTTGGCCATTGTAAATTGTGCTGTGAACATAGGAGTGTTTTTGAACTGGTGTTTCAGGGTTCTTAGGGTATAGTCCCAGCAGTGGAATTGCAGGGTCAAAAGGCAGTTCCATTTTTAGTTTTCTGAGGAAGTTCCACGCTGTTTTCCACAGTGGCTGCACCAGTCTGCATTCCCACCCACTGTGCACTAGGGTTCCCTTTCTCCACATCCTCTCCAGCACTTGTTGTTTGTTGATTTGTTTATGATGGCCATTCTGACAGGTGTGAGGTGGTATCTCATTGTGGTTTTACTTATTTTTAAAGATTTTATTTATTTATTTTTGAGAGGGGAAGGGAGAGAGAGAAACAGCAATGTGTGGTTGCCTCTCACGTGCCCCCCACTGGGGCCCTGGCCCACAACCCAGGCACATGCCCCGACCAGCAATCGAACTGGTGAGCCTTTGGTTCACAGGCTGGTGTTCTAGCCACTGAGCCACAGCAGCCAGGGTAATCTCTGTCTTTTGATTAGAGCATTTGATCCACTTACATTTTTAATTACTGATAAGGAGGGACTTGTGCTACTTGCTAGTTGTGTTTTATATGTGATATAGATTTTTGTCCCCCATCTTCTTTGTGTTTAGTTGATTTTTATAGCAAAATATTTTAATTCTCCTCTCATTTTCTTATGTGTATAATCTATAGATACCTTGTTTGTGGTTATAATGGGGATTACATTTACCATTCTAAAGTTATAACAATCCAATTTGAATTTATACCAGCATAACAGCAATTGTATGTTAAAACTTCTACACATCTCCATTCCTGCATTTTAGGTCGTGGATATCAGATTACATGCTTATAAATTCTGTGCCCATTAACATACATTAACATACATACATTAATAATTAATGTTATGCCCATGTCTTTCATATCATGTAAACAAAAATTGGAGTTACACACAATATTAAAATAACACTAGTTCTTATAATTCCCCATTCATTTACGTAAACACCTTTACCTTTATTTTTTCAAATGGCTTTGAGTAGTAACTCTGGCTTTGTTTCATTTGAACCCGAAAAACTGCTCTTAGCATTTTATGCAGGGCAGTTCTAATGATAATAAACTCCTTCAGAGTTTTTTTTGGAGGGGAGTGTGGGGAAGTCTTCATTTCACCTCCTTTGAAGACATACACCACGGTTTTGGTGTATATAGATTTCTTGGTTCACAAGTTGCCCTTGGCCTCAGCACTTTGATTATATCAATACACTGCCTATGGCCTGCAAAGTTTCTGATGAGAAATTGGATGATAATCCCATTGGGGGTCCCTTGTATGGGACCAATTCCTTCTTCCTTGTTGCTTTCAAGATTTTATCTTCAGCTTTGGCTTTCAACAGTGTGATTATAATATGTCTTGTTATTGATATGTTTTGGTTTATACTACTTGAGTTTGTTGAGTTTATTGAATTTGTACATTCATGTATTGCGTCAAAGTTGGGAAGCTTTCAGACATTATTTCTTCCGATATTCTAGTTTCCTTCTTTTCTCTCTTTCCTTCTGAGTAGAATAATGTGTATGTTCATCCACTTGATGATGTTCCACAGCTCCCCGAAGTTGTTTTCTTTTAACCCTTTTTTTGGTTGTTTCTCAGACTTGATCATTTCGACTGACCTGTGTACAAGTTCGCTGATTCTTTTTTCTGCTTGCTTGCTTTTGGTTCTGAACCACTACAATGCATTTTTTCATGTTAGTTACTATACATTTCCCCTTTAACAATGCTTAATGGGGTTAACTTTTATCATTTCTATTTCTGTACCCATAGTCTTACTTTGTTCATACAATTTTGCTGTTTGGTGCACATCTTCCTTCAGCTTTTCGAGCTGCTTTAGTTGGTAGAGGTTAGAAAAATGGTGGCCAACTTCCAAGACTCTGTGTTCAGAGCAGCAATTGACGATCAGAGCACAGAAACGCAGTATTTGGAGGGTAAGTTCCTTATGGCCTACCCTGGCTCCAGGAAACAGCTTCAGGCGTTCAGGTTGGTGTCCACAGCTGCCTACGCTGAGCTGGCCAGTGGGAGCTGGGAAGCCACCGGCGGGCGGATGGCTGTATTCCACCGAAATAAACTGCAAATGTGCCATCCAAGCTCTCCTCTGGAAGTTGCAAGTGTTCAAATAAACTCCAGAGCTCCAAAACAGTCACTTCAGACAGTTTCTCCCAGAACAACTGTTGTCTAGATGAAGAGCTGAATTTCTGGTGCTGCCTACCCCACCACCTTCTCTTTACTGTAAAACCTCTAACATATTGTATGTGAATTAATATTTCAGATTTATTAAGAGATGGCTTTGGAGACCGTCCCCTTTTCTACTGCCTGATCGCAGAAGTATTCGGTAAACAAACACCATCAGGTAAAATAAACCCTCCTCCAATTTAATCTGGCATACATTTTGTCTGTCCTGGAAACAAAATACAGTTTGGTAGAATATAGTTACCATTAAGCGGAGGAGACAAAGCATGTAAATACATAAACTCAAGGTTTTTTAAAAAAGAAAGTGTGTGGTGTGTACTCATATGTTTGTGTATTCCTAGAAAAATTTTGGAAGAACATATTCCACACTGTTAAAAGATGGCTAATCTCTTCAAGTTTGTACTCTAAGGGATTTAAACCTTCTACATGATGCAATCCTGTATTATTTGGAATTTTGTCCAGTGAACTTGTATTGCTTTAATAGTTTAAAGACACACACACAAATAGTCTCTTTTGGAGGAAAGAACATTCTAAGTCCAAAGCATTAACTTCTTTGTACCCGCGCTTCCCTCTTCCTAGGCCAAGCGACTGCTGGATTTGCTATGTACTACTTTACATACGATGGCTGGACTGGCAAGTTACTTTACATAGAGGACTTCTTCGTCACCGTACCTTTCCGAGGTCAAGCTACACTTAATATTTTATGAATTAAAATGGTGTCTTTTAATTTAAGGGGTAAAGATGGGGCTTTAGTATAAGTAGGGTGTTTAAGTTAGTGTATGGAACTTGCTTCTATTTTGTGAGCCTGATCGCTCTCTTAGTTCCCCTTGAATAAGGTAAAGACTCAATCAGATTAGAAGATTATTTTATTAGTTCCCATGCAGATTTTAATAAGCCAAGTTTTAACAGCTTTACTTTTTACCTTTACTAAATGCTTTCACATTTGGAGTTGGTTTCTCTAGAAAAGAATAAAAAATATACTCCGTGATTAGATGTTAGTGACAGGACTCATTTCCTCTTCATTGATCATTAAGATAAATTCAAACTCCTTTTTATTACCTTTGGAACTAAATTTCTATTAGGAAAAAGAGATATGAAGAACATTCAGGAGTTGAGTTTCAACATAAGTTATTAAGAATATACAGCTGGATACTGGGGTTTCACATTTTATGGCTTTTAAACTGAAGCAATAACATGTTAAATGGAATTTTCTCATTTTACATTATATCTTTAAAAGGCCTAGGTATTGGAACTGCAATGCTGAAGAGCCTTAGTCAGGTATGTATTAAAATGAATATTCATATTTTGTATGTTATCTTTACTTTATCAAGTATTTTCATTTAACAGGGCCAAATTAGGTAATTTATCTCATCATTTCAATGTAACCTGAAAATACCCTTAAATCTTGTATTGTGTTAAACTGAATTTTCATCCCTAGCTGGTGTGGCTTAGTGGACTGAGTGCCAGCCTGCGAACCAAAGGGTCGCTGGTTCGATTCCCAGTCAGGGCACATGCCTGGGTTGCAGTAGAGGGTGCGTAAGGGGCAACCACACACTGATGTTTCTCTCCCTCTCTTTCTCCCTCCCTTCCCCTCTCTCTAAAAATAAATAAATAAAATCTTTTTAAAAAGTGAGTTTTCAACTCAGATACTCATAGAGTATATTTGAGTTATATTTAATTAAACATTGATTTCTGTATAAACCACAACCACATTATACAGCTTTTTTTGGCCATAAAGAGGAAATAAGCAAAAGGGAGATTAGAAGGTGATTTTATCCATAAAATAGGTCCACCATATGAATATAAGAATAGTATAAAAACAACATCCTTTTGTACTTTGAAAATATACTTTTAGGTAAACTTTTCCTACAGAAGAAAGAAAGAAATACAGTGCAATTGTATTTATGGCAGAACCAATGAGAGGACCTTGCAAATCCACTTCGGACTTTGAAAGGGTGTTTTAAAGCCGAACAGTAGGACTTTGTACAGAACTTCAGTAAGATAAATGTGTTAACGAAGACTATGCTTTCAAGTAAGAGTAATCTCTGTTTTCCAACAGATAGCCCTGAGGAGCGAGTGTAACGGCATGCGCTTCTATGCCGTCCTCTGGAACGGGGCTTCTACTGACTGTGCCACTCCTCAGGGGGCCACGGGCCTTTTCTCCAGGGAGGGCCGCTACCTGTTGAGGATCAACAAAGAAAAACTCCTGTACCTGGCAGGGGAACAGTGAAAGAGCCCTCCTCATTGAGCTTGTGCCAACATCTCAATGTCTCCTGACTCTAAGAGCAGGTTGACTTTGAGTGTTGTTCAATAAAGCAAGGGATTAAACTCCGGTTGGTGTGGACCTTTTACTTTGAAGCAGGTTTTGCAGATAGAGTCACCTCTCCGTTATCCAAACGGACGCACTGATGGCACAGCTGCTGATCCAAAAGAGCACATCATTCACAAATCACTTACACTTGGCTTTAGGATATTGATTTGTTTACCTACCATAATCTCACTGAATGTCAGAGGCCTGTATTTTCACATTTTAACCTATCTGAAATTGGGATATTTCTAACAACTGACAGCATGTTTTTCTTAGAGGTAAATAATGTGTCTTAGATTTCATGTATATGAATGTGCTTGATTATAAATCAATGTGAGGGACAAAAATAATTTAAAATCATGTTGCTAAATTTTAAAGAGCTCCCTTAGGAAAAGGTGCTAAGTGAACCGCTTCCCCACTTTGAGATGATCAGGTAGCACCGAGTCTGTGATATCACATTCACAGCAAAACTGCATTTCATCTTTGAGCTCTATAGCGCTTTGCTTATACTTAGGGCAGATAATACATAAACTGCTGTATTTGTATATGTTTCCATCCTTTCTAGAATATAAGCCCTTTGACAGAATTCTGATTATTTTTGCATCCTGTCTTATGACCAGCATGATAGACTACGTGAGTTTGTACGATGTACCAGGGTATGTTATGGGCATAAAAGCTACACAAAGATGATTCAGTCATACCCATTAGTAGGTACCAAGTGGAGCCCTGTGTGTAAAAAAAATACTAGTTTTAGTTTTCTAATAAATTGTATGGACTATCACAGCTATAAGTCCCAAGTGTCTGAGAATGTAGAAGAGACAGCATCTGAATCCTACCTTCCAGAACAGTGACACTGGAATTGGGATTGAAGGAAAAGGAAGTTAGAATATGGGACAGGTTGAGACAGAAAAATATTCTAAGAAAACATCCCGGCATAGGCAGCGATGGGAATAGGAGAGCAAAGCATGTTCAAGAAGCAAGTGGTGTGTTAAAGATAAAATATAACGTATATTGGCAGTAGGGTACTGGAGAGAAGAAAGATAGGATTAAAGTCTAGCTGGTATCATACATGAAGGACCTTGTCTGCATGCTAAGGAGTCCTTGGTTCTGTAGGCAATGGTGAATGACTGAAGACTTCAGAAAGAAAATTTGTTTAGAGACAACTATGTCACAATAATATGGCACATGGGTTATAACAGGTGGCAAACACAAGGCCCGCGGGCCGAATCCGGCCCTCCACCTTGTTTTATCCGGCCCAGCACCACGTTTCTACCCAGCGGCAGTGCCGAGCTCTCTCTTAACTGTTAGGGAGTAGTTACATGTATCCAGTCTTAAAACTACATTCTGCCCTTTGAAAGCAACTGCGAGGCCGATGTGGCCCCCGGTGAAAATGAGTTTGACACCCCTGGGTTAGAAGAACAGGGTAGCAGACACTGTATGTTAGCTCAAATTCAATAGCCATTCGAAACCCCTTACCAATTGCCTTCCTTATCGTAGAAAACATGATTTGCCAATCTTCCTTGAGCTACCTGTGGCTATATAAGCTCTAGTCAAGATATACACAGATAACCAGAGAAGGGCTCTAAAAAAGCACTTAGTTTTCTAATAAATGGGGGTTGGAAGCATCTGGTAGACATTTTGTGCTAACTCTTCTTACTTTGAGTGTCTATGTGTTTTCCAGAAGTGCAGTAGCCATTCTGTGAATACAGGGTGACAAATCAACATGCTAAAGACTAGAGTGAAGCCCTGGCTGGTGTGGCTCAGTGAATTGAGCACCAGCCTGTGAACCAAAGGGTTGCCGGTTCGATTCCCAGTCAGGGCACATGCCTGGGTTGTGGGCCAGGTCCCCAGTAGGGGGCACACAAGAGGCAGCCACACACTGATGTTTCTCTCCCTGTCTTTCTTGCTCCCTTCTTGTCTCTCTAAAAATAAATAAATAAGATCTGTAAATAAATAAAAAATAAATAAATAAAATCTTTAAAGAAGACAAAAAGACTAGAGTGGAGGGAAGAAATGTCTTGGGGCTTCCTGGCACCAATGAGATTCCGTCCCAACACTGCACTGCCCAACTGCAGACTTGAAAGAGGCTCTTATTTACTTAAGCTGCTGCTAACGGGCTTCCTGTTACTTGCAAGAAGACATTCGGAAGTGACGGAGAGCAAGATTTAGGGCAAGCAGATTAACCGGAAGGTTGCCGTAGTAATCATTCAGGAAAGTGATGAAGACTTGAATGAGGGCAAGAAGAGAAGGTAGAACAGATATGAGGAACTGAAATAAGGAGAGAGAGGTAGAGACAACCTAGTTTTAGGCATATTGACACTGGGGCTATCTATGGCATGTATGATGGATACAACTGTTGCGCGTGGGTCACCGGCCAGCAGTGACCACGGAACGCTGTGGATGGCTCGACGATAAAGACGTGAGAAAAAACGACACATGCACAGAGACAGACTAGTTTCTGTGGGGAAGTAGGGACGAAATGGCCACCCCCCCTAGTGGGGAGCGTGCTGATTTACCGTCCATACCTGCTTTTATTGGGCTCATTTTGCATAATAATTCAGGTAAAGCACAGTACTCATTAGGAGGAAGTAAGGAACTATAGAAAACAAAGAACTCTGCCGGTCTATTGAGTTGGGGGTCAAAGAGCTGTAAGACTGAGGAACAAACTAACTTCCTCCTAAGACCCTTCTCATTCAACTGAGAGCATTCTAAACAAAGAAGGTTTCACAGTAATTTATATGTTCTTTCTTAGGCCTGATCACCCCGGGATCCGCACTTCCCAGTACCGAGCTGTACTACCCTGTCATTGTTTCAGGCTTAGGTGGAGCAAGGGAACTAAGGCCACCGAGAGATAAGGAGATTTTCTTCCGGACACTGAGAACTCAGACTTTGTCAAAGCCGAGGAGTGAGGGTCCATCACCCCCTTTTGCTGCAGCCCCCCAAGTCCTTCTTTTGGGAGGCCTCCCAAAGTGATCGTGCCTGGCTTAGGTCGTTCCCCCCGTGGGGAATCTTACCTGTCTTTGGCTAACCAACCAAGCTTTTTGGGGTTCAGCAGCAGAAGCAGCATTCCTGCCAGGGAGATAAGCTTTTGTCTCCTTGCTGGCTCACGGTTCCAAGGGCGTTCCCTTAGCTTTAGCCTAGGCAGGGGTTTCAGCCTCTGATACCAGTCAGGGCGGTTCCCAACATACGACTAATAAATACCCAGAAAGGAAGCTCTGCAGCTCTGGAGAAATATGGCAGCTGGACATACAAGTAATGAGAACACAGAAATGGTGCCTGCAGCCAGGGAACTATGTTGAAGGGAAACGAAAGGGCATACTGAACGAGGAGAAAAGACTAGGAAATAGAACCTGAATAGCCTAGGCGTGAAAGGCTTCAGAGCAGGAGAAGCAGAAATAACAGAGCAAAGGAGGAGTGCATTTCGAGGAGGGAGCAGCCAAGAGTGAGTCACTGCAGGAAATTCAAGTACACGTATAAAAGCCAGGGTGTCACAAGTCAGGAATTGCAAGTGAGGAAGAAAGTGGCATTCATTGCTTTTGTATGCGGCATGACAATTATAGCGTACAGAAAAGGTAGCTCGAGAGGAAGAGGCAGGCTTAGGGAAAGGTTTTTGTTATTGCTGTTTTTAGAGAAAGATCAGAAGCTATTCAGACGCTGAGGAAAGGAAATGAGTGAAAGAAACACCAAGGATTGAAGGTACGGTACTGGACAATATGGAAGGAGAGCAAGCTGGAAACCAACCAGAAGCACTGGCCTTAGAAAAGGGGCCAGTAAAGACGCAAGTCTTAAAGGCACATGTGCAGAAGTTGTGAGTGATTACAACTAATAGCTGATGTTTTTTCTCTAAGTAACGGGAGACGCAACCATCTCTGGCAGGTATAGGAGGCCTGGGACTGAAAGGAAACCCCCCAGGAACCAGTCTAAGGCCTGCTCAGCAGCACTGGAGGCCCCATGGAGCATATGGTCCCCTGAAATGGTTACAGGCGTTTCTGGACCTTTAAGACGAGTCAACATTAATAAAACAAAGAGACAAAGTCACCCCCGAGTGTCATAAAATATGTATAGTTTATTCCAGCTCTGGGAAATGAAAAAATAGGATAGGGAAGATATCCTTCCACACACCATTGTAATTTAGCCGCCATTAATTAGAAAAAGCTAAAGCAAATATATATGTGTATATGGATTTATATATACACATACATATTCTTTTCAGGTTTCAGTATCATCAGTACTCACATAGTCACTCTATTTTTTTATAAATACCCCTAAAATTCATCAAATGCATCCTAATAGTACTACTTCTGCCTCTTCACCAATCATTGAATATTGTTTGGATTGCATTTCCTGTTTGTGTGTAATCGTTTACGTGATTGGTCAACCTATACATTAGAAAGTGTAAAGAATACATTTGCTTCAAAGTAATGCTTTATGCGTCAATTACCCACGACATGATTTTTTGCATCATTATTTGGAACGTCACACATCTGTAGCTCTCTGTGCAGACTGCTTCAGCTTCTAGTGCTGTACATATCTGCGTCTTCTGGGTGGGACTGCCCGTGATCCATGAGCTTGGGGTCAGGCACAGAGTGTGTAGCACCTGATAAAGTATTGAAACGAAAAAAAAAAAAATCAGTCACTCGTTTAACAAATTGATTGCACGTCCTAGGAATACAGCAGTGAAAAACATCAAAAATCTCTGCTAACGTGGACATAACATTCAAGTCGGGTGAGACGGAAAATAAAAGAAATAATGTATCAGATAGTGGTAAGTGCAGTGCAGAAAAATAAAACTGGGAGGGGCATGTGCAGTGCTGGGGTGACTTGCGATGTGACATGGGGGGCCGGGGAAAGCCTTCTAGAAAAGTGACGATTGAAGCGCATGAGGATGTCAGCCCTGTAGGTGTCTCAGCAAAATGCCTTCA